ACGCTGACAATCAGCTTTCCATAATAACTTGTCCATTTTTTTTAGAAAAATATATATGTAAAACTTCAACTTGGCGTAATTTCGCGAGTAGTCTGAGCCGATACCATTGCAGCATTCAATTTATTAATTTATTCACTGTCCGCCATCCTCCTGTTTCCTTGAGCAAACAGAAGGTTGGAGAGCTGTGAGTACAACTCTACTCCCTCACATACTTTCAGCGAAGAGATCGGCAAAGAACTTGTCGATCAAAACCCTTTTTCCACGGCGTTAGCGGCCACAGCTTCATGACACAGTACTTCGAGCCCGGTTTGCACTCGATTTTATGTCAATGCTTTTATCCTCAGGCAAATCGAATGGTACGGTTTTAAGAACACGTTCATAAATGAGCTCTAAATCTTAGGTAAAGGATTTGACTAGAGCAAGTCTAAAGAAATAAACGTGTATCACTTACTCTGAGTCTTCTTGCCGAGGACACTTTTGTCCATCGATGAGCTGCTGAGAACACCCTTTTTGGTCGATACCACTGCCGACCGAATGCCGGTCACGTCCTCTTCATCCGTGACTAAAACACAGATCAGCTTAACCTTGCCACTACGCAGAGCTCACAAAAATGTTTAGGTTCTAGAATTGGCAATTGTGCGATCTCCGAATTGTCTTCGGAGGCGCGATCAGATTAAGTATATAAAGCGCCTACACCTGACCCGTAACTAATTAGGAAATTAGATGTCCAGGTTTCTTCCTGGAATCTTATTCCATAGGCTGCTCAAGACTTATGTTTTTAGGTTGATGAAGTGTCGTTACATAACCAATACCCCGTTGAGGAGTTTCTTCCTCGAGTATGTGTTGAATTATTCCTTGGACGTCTTCTAGCTATGTAGCTCAACCACAGCTAGGATCCTGAAATCGAATCTCCAGCAGATCTAGGATTAAAACGTTACCCCGTGTGGGCAACTGGTTTTTTTATTACTCTAAAATTGCCCTCTAAGCGTAAACGCTTGTGCCAATCCACTAGACTTGTTTAAGTGTTGGACCTTCGGCGCTTCCTGTGCATCTGGACAGCCGACGGCAGCTCCCTCCAAAGTAATTGGTTGTCACACAGAGATTCTTTGCAGTTCTAATAACGAACGTACCGCAAGTGAGTCCATCTCACTCATTCGCTGGCTTCTTCACGGATTAATGCTGCCAGCTGATCCTTGGATTGTACCTTATGAGCCCAAAGTATCCCTGGGATAAAATCAAACCTGTCATGTAAATCATGTACGACGAAGTCGTCATCGTACTGCAAATTTCTAGCCTGTAATAAAGCCCCACTACACGTTTCTTCAAAGTTATTGATGTGCCTGTTGCTAGGCGCACCGTCATCCTCGCTGGAGGGATATCGCGCTCAACTATATTAAATTTACGATCCTCTAGCGACTGGTGACGAACATGATCGTTCGACGCCCCACGGTCTATTATGGCACGAAGTGGCAACTGTTTTCGCCTTTTCTTAGTTTAAAGTGATGAGGTACCCCTCATCACCAAGTGCATATGCACACAAGGATTTTGAGTCTAAAGCAACATTTATCAATAGATTCGCAAATTTACTGAGGTTGCTGCATCAGTAGGGCGCTCCTCCCCTACTGACCTGGACGGTTTTTTTATGGTAAACCACGCTGTTGTAACTTTGCAACAGCGTCGGACCCGCGTCCGTTGCCCTTCTTGGGAGACGGTCTATTACTTCACTCAATTTCTAAGGTGCTACGCTTGTAGTACAAAACTCGTAGGCGCATCGCCGTGAATAATGACAGCGATTGTACTTTTGCAATCGCTTGGAGATTGAAGAGCTAGGTCTCTCTCCCTTATACTGCATATGTCTATTAATTATGGACCTCCCGCCTCTACTTGTCTCGAAGGGCCATACAGGATCAAGCTAGTGTTAGTCTGTATTACACTTAATTTCTCTTGTGCCGCAGTTGGTATCGCTTCCAACAGCGAATTAAACTTGATGCAGAACAGGTGGTTCCTCACGCCCCATTTTAAGGTCCGGTAAGAATTTTCTGGTCAGTACGAATTTACTTACAGGGTTAGCCAATATGCAACTTGCAAGGTAATGAACTTGATGAGCGTAAGCGTGAACGTCATGCTTACCTTGTTTTACTTCAGGACATAAAACTTGGTCCTGAGATCAGCTCTTGTCGGCTCAAATATTTGACTGAGCTAAGCCTTAAAGACCTCCAAAAATACTATTATGTTTGGATGTGTATTTGAAAATTCAGTCCTCGAGTTCTAGGACGCCCTGAAATATTCGATTTGGCAAATGCAACTTGCATTATCTCATCTTCGATGTGGCGAGCCTTAATGACATTGTCCGCTTCGAGTAGATAACTCAACATGGAGTCTTTCTCGACTCCCCGGTACTTGAGGACTTCCATCTTTCGAGTCTCACGTCAACGCTTACGCGTCGACGCTGCAGCAGCATACTGAGACTGCTGATGACTCCGGAGCTCCATCTGCTGTTGACCGTGCGGACGCAGCGGGTTTACTTCAGTTTTCGTTGCAAGAACTTGTCGATTACGGAATGCTACTGGTCCAGATCCGTTTGAGGATTGAAGAGACCATACATCTATTTCGCAAACGGTCGAATTAATACGTTCGATCGCACTCCATATGACATTACTAAGATAGGAGTAAATTTTACGGATGCCGTGAAAGGTATTGTCACCTTCATCGCCCAACATGTTCATGTTAAACGGGTTTTGTGGTCCTTGGGCGGATTTAAAGTGCTGCCAAATGTAACGGGGCACGGGATCAACACACTATACAAATAGTGTGGCGCGACTACCACCGACAGCCGCATGGGTGGCTCCTCGCTACTTATGTTAGTTATGAAGAGGGAGGGAAAGGAACTAGGAAATGACTAGTGTAACGGGGTGAATTGTTACATAACAATTTATAAGAAATTGTTAATAGAATATAAGTATAAGAGTTATATTCTCAGAATATTGTCATAAGGACAAATATTCTGTAGCACTTACAAGTAGTTCCTAATTGGTTGATATAGGCCATTATATCAACCAACGAAGACGCGCCACGACAGACGCACGCAATGAGTGGTGAGCAGATAACTGATTTACACATTTGTATTTAGACATAGTTAGATGAAGATAAATAGTGATTTATTGCAGACATTAACTATACTAAATACAGTTCTACTTTTTACTCTAACCAAGTACTCGCTTCTTCCTACCGTCTTCCTCTGCACGTAACAGTGTACGTGAAGTTACGAGGCACCGCCTTATTCTGTCATCAGAATAAGTAGCTTGTACTGTCACCAGTACAAGCTTCAGGGTGCCCCGTTACACCTTGTAGCACTTCGTAGTCCGTCCAAGGACCGCGTTCACATCCAACATGAATATGTTGGATGATGAAGATGACCAAAGCTTTCACGCTACGCGTGACGGCTACTCCCATTTGAGCGATGTCGAATGGGATGCGGTTGAACGAATGGGTTCGACCATGGGCATCCATGCTGTTAGCGTCATGCTAGAGGCTCTCAATAGAGATGCCCAACATGCTACTATCGCCAAGTTTATTCAAAATGAACTTGACGCTGAACGCGAGAAAGTAGCCTTGCTTCACCAACAAGGTTCTCAACAAGCAGAGTTGTTGAGAGAACAGGGTGCTCAACAGTTTGAACTGTTGAGACAGCAGCAGGCTGCTGCTGGCGGGTCGATGCACTCGCGTCGACCCGAAACCTTGAAGATTGACATCTCCAAGTATAGGGGGGTCGAAGAAGACTCCCTCTTGAGATGGTTCGTCGAATTGGATGACGCCATAAGGGCGCGTCGCATTGACGACGGGGATATGCAAGTTGCATTTGCCCAGTCAAATCTGGCAGGACGTGCCAAGACTTGGGCACTGGGGCTCAAGTTGCACGACCCATATGCGTTTGGGTCGTTGGAAGTCTTCAAGTCGCGGCTCAGACAAACGTTTGAACCGCCTAGAGCTGAGTTCAGGGCTCGAACCGAACTCTTGAAGCTCAAGCAGGGTAAGCGTGATGTGCACGCTTACGCTCAACATATACGACATCTCACGAGTTGTATAAGTTCCAATCCGGTGGATGAACACACGTTGGTTTCGGTGTTCATGCAGGGTCTTGCGGATGGTCCCGTCAAGACTCAACTGTTCCGGCTTGAACTAGATTCACTAGAACAATCCATTTCCATTGCGGAGCAGGAAGACTTCAGTCTGAGACAGGCTCGCGCCAGCTCGACATCATATCGTCAACCGAGGCGATATGACAACGGAGGTCCAGAGCCGATGGAACTCTGTTATGTAGAGAGCGAGAAGGCTCGCTCTACAGGCTACAAGAAGTTGCAGAGATGCAACAGATGTCAAAAGACAGGACACTACGCTTACGAGTGTAGTGCCCCTCGTCCAGTGTCTCGCGACAGTGGGCGTAGTGACCGTCCACCCATGAGAAAGGGGCAGGGACGAGGGTCCGCTGTTGGTGCAAGGACGCAACAACGGGATGGACCGTCAAAAAACGGACAGGATCAGTAGATGCGGAGCACCCTACTGGTCTAGCAACGTCAAGAAAATTTGTAGGCCTCTTGATGAAAGTTGCTCCCAACACACAAACGTTGTGCGTTGCTGCTCTAGGTAATGAGATCGCGCTCATTACCTTGAAACTCGAAGTGACGAATAAGTTGTCCCTTCGAGCTCTAGTCGATTGTGGGGCGTCCAACAATTTTGTGCGACGCCAATCGCTAGAAGATGGTCACTTTAAATTCAGTGAATGTGACACACCTCCTACGAGGATGACGGTACGTCTTGCGACAGGCGCATCCGTAACCGTCATGAAGCGTATAGTGAAGATCCACTATACGCTAGAAGATACCCAATATGACGATGACTTTATCGTATTGGATTTGGATGACAAATTTGATGTCATCCTTGGAATACCGTGGCTCAGAAGGTACGAACCACGGGTAAACTGGCAACATCGGACAGTAACGATGCCTGCCGCTTGTTCATCAGATGGCCATCTGATGAACGTTTTGGAGCGTCCACAAGCGTGTGGATGTACTACGAGTGAGTGCAATGGCCTCACTTGTGGTACGGTCGTTAGTACGACTGCACAAAACCTTAGTGTACCAAACGGTTACACTTCGGAGCAAAGTTCCGGTGGCTGTGAGGAAACACAGGCTGCGCCGAAGGTCCACCACTCGAATAAGTCGGGTGGACTGGGACAAAGATGTATCCCTAGCGGGGAACATCTAGAAGAGAAACAATCGATCGCTCAGGTTAAGCGAAACGATAATCCTAGATCGACTGGAGAGTCTTTCGTAGAGGATCTCGCTGTGGTTGCGCAACCCCAGCTAGAGGAAGTAAAGGGAATAAGTCCCAAGATTACAAATACGGCGGAAAAAAGTTCCCCGAAACCCGCGGGAATAAGTCCCCGGGAAGACGAAGGAATAAGTCCTTCGAAGCCTGAGGGAATAAGTCCCCAGGAAATGACAGAGACATTGAATGTCATAGTCAATAACGGATCAAGTGGAGGCGCTTATACACTTGATCTGATTGCGCCTCCGAAGTTGACTTCGGAGATCACTCAGTTGCCAACGCTCGAACATAAAAGGTTCTTGCGTGATCTGCGTAGTGGAAAAGTCAAGCAGATCTGCATACTCGTCGCTGACGACGAGTGTGTAACCGACATAAGGTCAGCAACAGTGTTCACTGAGAACGATAGAGTTCTCAGTAGTTCATCTATGGACGAGAGTGTCCTAGATGAAAAGACACGAATTGAGCGATATGACTCCCAATCATGGGAATCGCTCAAGAAAAATCCTCTCTATGAAGATTTGGTTGAATTCAAGGATGTATTCCCTGAAACTGTTCCGTGCGAATTACCGAAGGATAAAGGTATTCGACACGAGGTCGAGCTTAAACCAGGCTCGAAGTACTGTGTCATGAAGCAGTGGCCACTGCCTCGTGAACAAGTACTTGCGATCGACAAGTTCTTTGCCGATCGTTTAGCTGCGGGCCATGTGAGGGAATCAACTTCCCCACATAGCTCTCCGACCTTCTGTGTGCGAAAAGCAGCAGGAGGGTGGCGGATAGTGCACGCGTTCAACAAGTTGAATGCTGCAACGGTACCGGCTCAGACGCCGATACCGAGGAAGGACGTAATCATTGATGGTATGTCAAAGAGTACCATCTTTTCGTCCATGGATTTGATGGATGGCTTCTATCAAATCCTTTTGCGGGAACGGGATATACCCTATACCGCAGTTAGCACGCCTAGCGGCATGCTCTGGTAATGGCTAGTAATGCCACAAGGGCTCAGTAATGCCCCTGCCACGTTCAACAGATGTGTATCACATCTGTTGAGACCAGTACGAGAATTCGCTCCGAGTTATTTCGATGACCTATTCATCCATAGTCGAGCTATGGATGTAAAGTCGGACGCTGAGGCTCACAGATGCCACGTCCGACAGGTTCTTACAATCATGCGAAAGCATCATTTGTATGCAAACCTCAAGAAGTGTATATTTGCAGCAAGCGAAATACCACTTCTTTGGTGCATTGTAGGTAAGAACGGTGTACGTCCTGATCCCAAAAAAAAGATCAAGGCGATCACCGACTGGCCTGCGCCAGTTGTTGTCAGAGGTCTCCAAAAATTCCTTGGCCTAGCGGCGTATTTGCATAAGTATTCACGCAATTACGCCGAGATGACTGTGCACCTCTCTCGTTTGTTGAAAAGAACGAGAGGTGGTCATGGAACGCTGAATGTCAGCGCTCCTTTGAGGGTATCAAGCAGAGCTTGATACAATCCCCAGTCCTAGCAATAGCGGATCAAGACAGTCCATTTCATGTGGTCTGTGATGCCAGCGATTTTGCAATCGGCTGTGCATTAATGCAGTACGATCTTGAAGGCGTTGAACGCGTCGTCTGCTATCAGTCGCGTCAGCTGCAACCAGCTGAGTAGAACTATCCGGTGCATGACAAGGAACTCCTTGCCATGAAGTATGCACTCGCGAAGTCCAGAGTCTATCGATTAGGAGATAGACCCTTCATTGTTTACACTGACCATGCGTCATTACACACGGCAGTAAACAGCCCGCACCTTTCACAACGAATGGCGCGGTGGTTTTCATTCTTTGCAGAATACAGCTTTACGGTCGAGTACAAACCAGGACGACTTAATGTCGTCGCTGATGCCCTCTCACGTCGTCCCGACTTTGAAACAGTCGCGAAACCCAACAGTGAGACAGTCACTGTTGCGGTTATGACGTCCTCAGTCCCATCTACAACGTTGTATGATGATGTGAGGCGGGCATAAGCCCAAGATGGTGAGATTGTGAAGTTGTTGACACATCTCTCCCAACTATCCCGAGAATCGTTGAAACGATTGTCGCCTGCGTATCGATCTGCATCAGATCGATACACTACTCGCAACGGTTTACTGTATTATACAGCCGTTTCTGGTGACACACCACGTGTTGTCATTCCAGATGATACTGATCTGCGTTTGCGGATCATGTTCGAGTATCATGATGCTCCTATAGGAGGACATCGTGGCCGAGAGAAAACATATCTCACGGTAAGTCGAGACTTTTACTGGCCCCGCCAGTATCAGTTTGTGCGAAAGTATGTTCGCGCATGCGAAGTCTGTCAACGAGTGAAGTCAAGTCCTTCACTGCGTGCACCTTTACAGCCTCTACCGGTTCCGGCTGAGTGCTGGGAATCCATCTCAATGGATTTCGTCTTCGGGTTACCCAAAGACGCACGCGGGAATACGGGTATTCTCGTATTTGTTGACAGATTCAGCAAAAATGGTACACCTTGTGGCTGTACCAGAGACAATCACGGCAAGTGGCTGTGCTTGTGTCTTTATTGACACCATCTTCCGACTTCATGGGTTGCCCCGTGAACTCGTATCAGACAGAGATTCACGATTCACTGCTGATTTCTGGCGTTCCGTGTTCAAATCACTCGGAACGCGCTTGAAGATGTCAACATCTGATCATCTAGAGTCAGATGGTCAGACGGAACGTGCCAATCGTGTCCTTGAAGAGATACTTCGAGGATACGTACACTCCTTTAAGAGTTGGAGTGAGTTTTTGCCAATGGTAGAGTTTGCCATCAACAACTCGGTGCATGCGTCCACGACACATACACCGTTTTACGTGAATGGCTTGCGCCATCCGCGTGTACCCACCTTACTAGAGTGTAGCTCTGGTTTAAGGGGGGGAGGGACTCGCGCGAGCAAAAACCGATTTGGTTCACGATCATCACGCTCTGACGAAGAAGTCATTGTGTTTGATGCCGATATCGATAACATCGATATCGAAGAAGATGATGCCAGTGAGAGTGCGGAAGCCCTTACTGAAGAAGATGATGCCAGTGAGAGTGCGGAAGCCCTCACTGAAGAAATGATTGATGTTGCTGCAGTGCGCTCGCAGCGCACTGAAGCTAACGAGTCATCAGATGAGTTCATACTGGCTCGTGAAACGGTAGTCCGTTTTGTGCAAGACTCCATCGCCGAAGTGGTGGATAAGCAAAAGCAAAACGCTGATAAGAATGGAAGGGCAAACACTCTTTTATTTGATAAAGGTGACTTAGTCCTACTGTCTACGGTTAATCTACCAAAGCATGTAGTGACTAACTTGGGTAGCAGTAAACTACTACCCAAGTACATTGGCCCATTTCGTGTATTGCACCGCCTAGGCAATGCATACACGATCGAGTTACCACGTAAGATGCGAACGCATCCCACGTTTTACGTTGGTCGGCTTAAGCCGTACCATCAGTACGCTGCTTCTTCCGATGAAGAACGCCCTTGCGCTCTAGCATCTCGCAGAGAGCCTTGTGTTCCCGATGGTGGATATCAACAAGGGTCTGAAGAGCAGCTATCTCATCCCGAGACCGATCAGCAATCCCACGAGCTACCCTTAGCTCGTCACGAAGAGATGTCAGAGATCTCTCGTTCTCAAGCTGAGCAAAGGCAAACTCAGCTCGATGCTTCGAGGCAGTGTCCGCCATTTGGAGACGCCTATTCCGCTCATGCTCGAGATCGTCGCGTAACCCTTGCGTTACGCGATCAAAGAAGCTCTCGGGAACACACCGATCCACATGATCGTGTGGAGAGCGTCTTTCCTCCTCCTCCACCCCCATTAGAGGACTCTCGCGGTGGCCAGCGCTATCTAGTTGAGCAGCTGTTGAACCACCGCGATGTGAACGGACGTCGGACGAGTTATCTCGTCCGGTGGCGCGGCTATCCCCCGTCCTGGGATTCTTGGGAGCCCCGCTCCCAACTGATGATCGACGTACTGGGTCTGGTTGAGCAGTACGACGCGGCACATCCTGTGCCGCAGAAGGACCGCCGGAGAAAGTCTTCCCGGCACGGTCGTAAAGGGATTTCAGGTTGTCAATCCCTTCGTACATCTCAGTAGAGACACGTACGCGCCACCACGGGCTGGTAAGGAGGTAAGCCTCCTTAGGTGCTCGTGCAGAGTTGTTCACACAACATGGGCACGAGTCTCCCCAAGAGAGGCAGGGTAATCCTTTCTCCCTTGACAGACGATGCAGCTTGTAGCGTGCACCTGTCGGGGTTCGCTTTTCAAACTTATCACGAGCTTTGATAAGTTTGTCGCTCCAAGCGTCACGACCTACATCCTCGAGGTTATGGATGTAGGCGTTCCACGCCTGAAGTAGTGAGGGACCATCACGTTTGTGATTCCCACTGTACCATCGATGTCTAAAGAAAGCATCGATGAAGAATTCATGTTCAGCGCGATAGTTTTTCGCGCTGGGGTCAACGTGATGGATCCTTGACGAATCGAACAATCGTGTTCGATAACGATCACTCGTCGTCGCCGAAAAGTGATCCATGACGGATTTCGGAGGCATCCATGCCTTCTTTTCTGGAGCGAGACGCAAGACATTGCGGTCCCGCTCTTCCTGCGACGTGCCGACAGAAGCACTGGCACCTCGCTGTGAAGTGGTGTCCATAGGAGAACCGACACCACTATTAGCGCCCGAGTCTCGCGACCTCGAGCGCCTTCGCTTCGGCGATGGTTCATCTGATTCATCAGATGAACCAAAGATGCTGCGACGCAAAGCATCGTCCATGCCACGCTTGGCAGGCGGCTTAGATTCAATCGCCGTCGATACGGATCCGTCATCCGTATCAGGAGAGTACGAGACGCCGAGCTCGTACTCTGTGAAGACATGAGTGTCTTCATGACCAGCGCCTGCATCACCAGGTGACACAGGCTGGGTCGCTTCAGCAACCGATGAGACATCAGTTGCTGTTGTTTCTGCTTCGGCGTCCGCACAGAGACGTGCAGACGCGCTCTCGGCGGCCTTGCTCGCGCATCGCATGGGCTTGTTTACCATGCGATGAAATGTTGGAAAGTGGACGCGGACCAACAAGTGCAAACCCTGTCCCAAATGATTTGGGACGAGTATCCATTTAGTCAATCAGTCACTAAAGTGACTGATGGTTAAGGGGGGGGTGATGTAACGGGGTGAATCGTTACATAACAATTTATAAGAAATTGTTAATAGAATATAACTATAAGAGTTATATTCTCAGAATTTTGTCATAAGGACAAATATTCTGTAGCACTTACAAGTAGTTCCTAATTGGTTGATATAGGCCATTATATCAACCAACGAAGACGCGCCACGACAGACGCACGCAATGAGTGGTGAGCAGATATTTGATTTACACATTTGTATTCAGACATAGTTAGATGAAGATAAATAGTGATTTATTGCAGACATTAACTATACTAAATACAGTTCTACTTTTTACTTTAACCAAGTACTCGCTTCTTCCTACCGTCTTCCTCTGCACGTACCAGTGTACGTGAAGTTACGAGGCACCGCCTTATTCTGTCATCAGAATAAGTAGCTTGTACTGTCACCAGTACAAGCTTCAGGGTGCCCCGTTACAACTAGTGGCTGGTAAAAGTATTTTTATACAATTAAATCCTGATCATTTAACCTTTGTTTTATACCTAACTTAAATATATTGATCTGCAAAACTGTATGCTATAGTCTTGCTCACCACTCATTGCGCGCGTCCATCGTTGACGGACCGCTAAAGCTGGCTGGTATGATGACCCATATTAGTCTATCGGTGAGTGTGTCTAAGTATTATCTCTTGTGATATAATTCCCGAGCATTATCAGCTTGTCTGATTGTATTTCGATTAACAAGTATCAAGGGTTAAGAACATGTAAAAGCTATTCAAAATCAAAAAAATCATTACTCTATATTTTGTGACCAATAATTGTGGTACATAGTGTTGCCTGATGAAGGTTTCAGTTGCTCAACAAAGACTTGACTAAATCCAATGTTTTTTATTACTACAGTTTGTAAGGTATTTACAAACTCGCCGTAGCCTTCCAAAATTGGCAAAAAGCGGCGATCAAGAGCGAGCTGACCATGAGTCGCGCGCGCGTATACTGCGACGTAAACGAGACACGACCACGTGAGTATTGGGATTACGAGACGCTGAATGTGTCGTGGGGGTACGTTGTGCAGCGTCTTTTCTCGTCTCTCTATCCATCTGCGCTCCGAATCTCCTTTGAAATCTGAACTTGAGCGAGGGGAGTGAGCGGAGCACTTGTCAAACCTGGGCTAGTCTGTATTCATTCTGAGATGAAGGTGTCAATTAACTATTGTTGCGATATACAGGGACCAAGACAATTACGAGGTGATCCGCAAGATTGGTCGAGGCAAGTACAGTGAGGTGTTCGAGGGGTACAATGTCGCAAGCAATTCCCGCTGCGTGATCAAGATCCTTAAACCCGTCAAAAAGAAAAAGATCAAACGGTACGGGTGTCTAAAACTGTCGTCTTATGTCGATGTAAAGCATTAAGATCATACTGTGGATTGTCTGCTTTCGGATGCCGCTTATGTAGTGAGATCAAGATACTGCAGAACCTCTCGGGCGGTGTAAACATCATCCAGCTACTGGATGTGGTGCGCGACCCACAGTCCAAGACGCCGAGTTTGGTGACCGAGTATGTAAACAATACGGACTTCAAGATGCTGTATCCGACGCTGAGCGACTTCGACATTCGCTACTACTTGTTTGAGCTGCTGAAGGCGCTGGACTATTGTCACTCGAACGGCATCATGCACCGTGACGTGAAGCCGCACAACGTTATGATTGATCACGAGAAGCGCCAGCTGCGTTTGATTGATTGGGGTCTCGCCGAGTTTTATCACCCGGGTCGCGAATACAATGTGCGTGTGGCTAGCCGCTACTTCAAGGGACCAGAGCTGTTGGTGGATATGCAGGAGTACGACTACTCGCTGGACATGTGGAGTCTTGGCTGTATGTTTGCAGCCATGATTTTTCGCAAAGAGCCGTTTTTTCATGGTCATGACAATTGCGACCAGTTGGTAAAAATTGCCAAGGTGAAGGGTACCGATGAGCTTTTTGATTACCTCACCACATATGACCTGGAGCTCGACCCGCAGTACGATGGCATTTTGGGCACGCACACAAAGAAGCCTTGGGAGAAATTTGTCACGCAAGAGAACAAGCATTTGGTGTCTGCTGAGGCTATCGACTTCTTGGATGGTCTATTGCGCTACGACCACCAAGAGCGACTGACAGCAAAGGAAGCTATGCAACACGCGTACTTTCAGCCGGTACGTGACGCAGCGGAGCAGAAGCTGCGTGGTGGTGCGCACCATACTGATGAGATAACCAGCGTATCTGACTCAAGTGCGTAAAGTGCTTGGTCAAGTCTACGCCTTGTTTGAGAGAAGGGTGAACGGAGATCAACGTTGTTTTAGAGGAGGCTGCATGAATACGAGTAATCAGTGATCAAAGCCACCCATTGATCAGCTTTACAAGATTCTACCGCCGACAGCAAAGCATGACGAGGGGAGGAACAAGAGGAATAACCTTTACGAGGACACGCAAGGCCATGTAGCACGAGCGTGAAGAATCAGCTGTGTGGACGGGCGAGGCAGAACAGAGCCGTTTGTGTCTTCGAGATTGGTGACTGGGTAGGAGACGATTGTGCGAGAGCAGCAGTGTGACGTATGTAGTCGAACTTCCACATTCTTATCTCTTTGTCGCTTGTGGTCATTTCGCTCATGCATCCAGCAGTCTCATGATAAGGAATGGTACGCATGCAAATTGAGTTCACAGACCAATTTTAATTGTGCGCTTGAGTCCGCATGAATCCCAGTTCGTCCAGGTAAGCCCGTCTCCTTCGTTGCGCCCACAGTCACAGCCAGTCAATCACGAAGGTGGTAGATTGCGGACTACTCCAAATAAAATCGCATCGTGCACTTCGTGCCTGGTACTGTCGTACACCTGTACTTTATCCGCTGCCCAGTCAGTTTTATAAAGTAGCGGGTGCTATTTAGAAATGAAGTGTATTTTACTGGTAGAAACACCCCGTGTGTGTAAACGACAGCGATTTCTTTGATGTTTAGGGACCTCACACAAAATAACTGCTTTGGTCAGTGCGACAAATACAATCATACATCCTAGCATACAAACTTTTTGTAAAATGTAATAGTAGGATAGGGAAGCATGCTCTGGGGATCGTTCTTACCGACCCAGTGGCCGTGTGGTAGACCACTGGAACTGGGACCGGGAGGTACCTGAATCGATACCCGGTGGGGGTTCGATTACAGGGCGCCGGAGATAGGCTAATAATATAGACCAGCAACCACCAATGGGTGGCCGGTGCCGTCCGGATGCCCTACAAGCCGAAAAGCCCCATAGTGTAATGAGGGGTGCGGGTCCTGTAAGGAGTTCAAACTGAGTCAGAGTACTCGCGGTTCACCCCAGGGTGATCTGAAGGACCGCGCGGCATAAATCTCTGGGGATCGTCCTTTGGAAAAAAGTAGCTTAGTTTGGAGAGCTGAACAAGCTGCACACAATACAAGAGCAGCAGTCACTGAAGAATGAGTATATTGCTGTTAATGTCTCTTCTAAATCAGCACAAAATGGTAGGGCAACGCGGTCGGCCTGTGCTTATGAGCGTCCAGCAGTTGCGCATATATCCATAATGACCTTTAATTGATTTTAAGCCAAGCGTGCATTACAATAGTGACTTGTCCAAAGTACACCTAGCCGCGTCATTTACAGACACACAGACCCCGGAGACGAAAGAATACCCAATTTTCTCGTAGATACATCGGGTTTCTGGTTTTAATAAAAAAAAAACCGATTTTCGCATGGTTTCTAGAATGAAGTCGATGCTCTATCTATTGGACTAAGCCGCCCCATTTTCATCGACGTCGCTCTCATCGTCACTGCCGTACGTTTTACCGTATGCTTTTGGTGAGTCATAGACAGCTTGAAGGTTCGACTTGATGAATGCAAGCTTCCTGACGGTATCAATAACCGGTGAGCTTTCGCATGGTGCTGCCACACCGTACCACTTGAGCTACAATCTCTTTTGGTAAATTTTACGCCGAGGCGCTTCTGTTACAACATTACCTTGAGGTGGAGGAGGTCGTGTAATCGATGAATGTGGCGTTTCGAGGGGTCAAAAATTCCCTCCGCACAACGTTCAGGGGCCGAAAACAAAAGAAAAACAAAAGAGCCAAGTTTGCCGCCGAACCCGAGTAATCGTTTTTCTTAACACCAATAAAAAGCCCGATGCAAAAAACCCATGTCACGCCAGCTCTGGCAGGCACACACACAGATAAGTATGATTCAATGTTGGCATCTGACCTTGCGCACAATCACGAATCGCTTCACCCTTCGGGCTTGTAATACTACACACAAATATAAATAGCACCCGCGAATTCGTAAAACTGACTGAGCAGTGGATAAAAGAATTGGTGTACGAATTTACCAGACGCGGAGTGTTTTCTAACTTTTGCCTCATTGAGCGCGTGCATACCAGCAAGCTATTATCTTCCCAGTTTTATCTTTTGTGGTATACACGAATTTGAGCATACATAGACCAAATCAAGACGTGGATCACTGCCCACCGCTCACTTGCCAAAGCGCAACGCATCACCTCGTCGGCTTTGCGACTCGATTTCCGTCCCCACAGTCGAAGTATGTGGCGCGCGTATCGCGTGGCTGCGCTTCGCCACCTCCGGAATGAGGCTGCTCGAGTTTCAATTGTTCGTGTACCGCTCAATCTTTCGCTGCAGCGATATGGTGCCAACAGGTACTTCACGAGCATCGCCGGCGTGGATCGCGACTTGCTGCTCACCCGCTCTGCGCGCGAATTGCGCGATGAGTTGGGCGAGTCCAAGATCGGAAACGTGGCCAAGGCGCTCACGCATGAGCTGGATGACGCTATTGCGCGCGAGGAAGTGACCAGCGCCGAGGTCATCGACCTGTTCACGGCGGCCCAGAAGACGCGCGCCATATCCGTGATGCTGAAAGCCTTCAGTTTTCTAGAAGCCAACTTTCCTGCTCACATCAACTTTGCAGTGTATGGTGAAGTGTTTCGTGTCCTGGTTCGCAAGAACAACCCCGATCGCCTGATTCAGATCTACGAGACATCAAAGCCACGCTTCAGCGCGGTTCCTGAAATGATCTACCGCTTCGGAATCATTGGGTATTTGCAAAAGAATGACATGGAAGCGGCCGTCGATACTTGGCAAGAAATGCTGAATGCCGGCCATGAAACGACCAACGAAATTACGTCACGACTGATGATGGCGTACGCGCGCCATGGACAGGCGGAGAAAGTGCTGGAGCTGTTCGAGTCTATCGATCCACAGATTGGCCATTGGCATGAGTCATGCATTGACCGAGTTATACTCAGCATGGGCATTATTGAGCAGCCTGCGAAGGCCTTCGAATTCTACAGCAACTCGAGCATGAAGTTGAACGGTGGCACGCTGATGGCTCTCCTCAGCGTCTGCAATAACAACAATTGCAAGCAACAGGCTTCGGACATTTTGGCGAACCGCAAGAAGTTTGATTTGCGCCTTGACGCGCGCGGCTACAACCGCATCATGATGACACTAGAATTTCTAGAGCGCAACGACGAGATCAAGGACGTCTTGGAGGAAATGGTTGAGAATGGAGTTCGTTTTGACACTCGAACGAACACCATTATTGAGCGCAACGCCCAGTTTTTAAAGGACACGAAATACGTTGCTAATTACAGCAAGAGCAAGGCTGCAGGATTCACGATTAGTCCGCGCATTCGAGAGATGCTTGCGCAAGGGCAATTGAGTGAAGCTGCAACTTACGTAGACTCCATTGTAATGCCCGTGGACGAGTCACAAATACCAGACGATTTTGACGGCAAAGTTCCTGAAGGGGCACTGGTTGTGAGCTCCAATACGGCACGGGATGTCGTGCAAACGTACATTAAGACTGGACAACTTGACAAAGTGGCCGCTTTGGTCAAAGGATTCTCCGTAGTCCGTGGCAAGTACACGTTTGCTTTGGCTGAAGTCATTACTCACTGTCTAAAGTTGAACGCCAAGACAGGGGATGAGCTTAGCTATGCTGCCAGTAAGGCTTTGCTTTACCAAGGAATCCGCATTCACCGCGTGAATGACGCGCTAATGTTATTCCGTCGTTTTCACGACCCTGAAGCAGCCCTTGAGCTCTTTGACCAAGTACTGGCTTCGTATTGTGGTAGGGATGGCAACAATGCGCGGCTGCCTGCTGGAGACGAAGATGAGAATGATGATGAGTTCGAAAGAAAACCACACTACGTGAATTTCAACATTGGCAAGGTGATCAACTTGCTTTTACGGACGCTGGTGGAAAACGGCAGGATGGCAGATGCTCTGGATGTACTGAAGACGATGGAAAGTCGGGGGCTGCAGGCCACACAAGCTAATTACGTCACAATTCTAAGCTCGATGCACAAGTGTTTGCTGCAGTCGAACAATGGTACCGAAAAGCAGAAGGCGGCCTATGATATTTCCAGTTTTCAGGCAGTGCTGAAGGACCTCATGGACCGTGATATGAAAGTGAGTAAGGCTGTCGTGGGCTATTTGTGCCCTGCGTACAAAGACGCAAACAAGCAGCAGCGTTTGGAACTACTGGAGGCTTTTGATGAGGCCATGACTAATCCGAATGACAGCTACGTCTTGCCGCACTTGTGCTATGCAACACTCTTGGCGTTTACTGCACAAGAGGGTACTATGTCGCAGCTGAAGAAGCTGTACGACGAAGCTGTGAATTCCCTGGACAAAAAAGAAGCTTTGGGCGTGCCACGCAGCTGGGTGACTGTTTTAGTCGAGAAGCTCGTTGATGATGGTGACGTGGAAGAAGCCGAGCAGCTTGTAAAAGAGATGTGTATGGTGTGTGGTGGATACACGTTTGGAGCTATACTAGCAGTACTGAAGGGAGCTCTGGAAACCCAGAAGCTGGATGTCGTTGAAAGCATGGTGGCGCTCTTGGAAGAACGAGAGTTCATTGTGAGGTTATCTGACGCGTACGAGCTAGTCCATTTGGCCCGGAAGCACGACCTGTCGCTGAAGGCACTGGATATCATTCGACTCTTTGAAAAGAACAACTTGAAGGACGTACCGCCTCGAGCGGATGGCTCTGGAACTCTGGAAGAGGCCTACTTCCGACGCCAGCGCGGCGATCTCCATGCGTTCCGAAAGGTGAAGACCATGTACAGTGTGGCTCTCAAGGCATGCGAGAAGAGCGGACTCTGGAAACAGGCGCTTGTGCTGCAGGACCAGATGACGACACTGCTAGGCAAGGAGGCCATGGACGCGACCGCCGCGAATGGGACGCCCAAGGAGAAGCAGTCGAACTACGAATAGAGGGTAGAGCCGTCCTCACGTTAGGGCGTTATAGACGGACACGCCGTAAATACGATCTCATTCGCTTGCATTCGGATTCTTGATGGAGCTCGCTACTCCTCCTTGGCGACGCCCACTTGTTTTGTATCCTTGTCTGCTTCCTGGTGTTCATTTTAGACCGAAGTGAGCGTTTGCTTTTCTTTGCACTACGCTTGCTACCAGTCGCGTGCCCATGACATCAAGACTTGCGATGTTGCGCTGCTTATCTCGGACACCGTTTATAGATATACGACTTTTGGAAGGCTGCAGATATGTAAGGGGCGACAGAGCTGGCCTTAGTGTAATAGGTAGCACGGATGCGGTTTCAGGTGCCGTTTAGGCCTAGTACGTGACTACCAAGCGTTGGAACTTGGCCGAACCTAACAAGTTGTTTGTCGGTGTATGCACACTCGCTGTTGGGAGCGACCCGGCCTCGAATCGAGAGGCAGGTATTCAACAACGTCACAACTGCATAGAGATTGCAAAGGGGACGCGTCATTTTATAGCACTTTAGAACTCGCTTCGATCAGCAGTAAAGATGAATTCGGTGTGCTATTGTATGCTAACTTGCATCATGGGTGTTGCTGTTGCAACCTCACCACGTGAAGTGCGCACATTGATGTTGGAAGTCAAAGGTAGTGGAGTGACCGTAGGGCGAAGTAAATCGAGTTATGACATCAGCACTGTTGCTGTTGCGGCCAAAGCTATCGAGAGTCAAATATGTTGCATTGGCGTGCGACAACATGCAAATGCGAGAGAGAGGATGAGACGGTTCATTTGAGTGCTTGTGACTTTTCGAGGATTTCTGTACGGATATCAGCCTCGGCCTCTCGTCAAGACTGTATCGATCTCCCGTGCTTTCTCCAGACGTCGAACTGCACACATACGCTTCAGAAAGGGCACGTGCGACCGGTAACCAAGCCTGGGTGCATGCGGGGTACATGGACGCCAGAAAGGGCGGCCGATTGCCACCCTCGAACGCTTTCGATGGGCCATATTGACTCGGCCCACGCATGTCTCTCCGACGCTAGATAATCGGACTTTATCACGTTCCGAGCGAGTACTTATTGTGGGACGGGATTCATGTTCGCGCTTGGCGAACGAGTCGCCTGACTGGAAGGCGGATGGAGAAGTGCAGGCACTTGTCAAGACGAAAGCTGGATGGGAACTATCCGCTCAGGAAACCGTCGTTTGCAAACCATTGTTAGTACTCCAGCAATGATGGCAAGTGGTGTACAGACAATGAAGTTATTCAGATCTGGAATGATAGATGTATCGGCACACTGAAGTGGCACGAGGCTCTTCACACAGAATGGCACCAGTGCTGTTCTTCGGAAGCGGGACCACGATCGTGAGCGGCACCAGGAGGCGCAAGTAGTTTGTTTACAATGACACGAATCTCAGCGACATGCTGGAGAGAATTATCCCGACAAGTATCACCGTCAGTCGAATGCATCTAAACGTGACTTGAAGGAGCAGCTGATATAGCAAGTACTGGGAGTACCAGTGACATCGCGCGACGAAATCACATGAGAGAAACCATGACCGAAAGTTACCACATTCCTGCCGGTTGTTGCAGGAAATTGGTGGTGTGAAATACATAACGGTCGCGAAAGAGGCATCAGGTGAGCATGGATCTCGTTAAGGTATCTGCAGTACCAACGATAAAACGCAAGCGTAGAAGCAGCATAAATTGGACGACAGGAGCTTTAGCTGGAAGCGGCTGCTGCTTGTTATCTAACATGTTGTTCAATCGATCTAACTAACCTGTTGTTTAGCAAGGCCTTCATCTTATTAAATAGTGCTTAGTCTTCTACTTACCTTAAACTTTCGACCGGACCTTCACGAGAGATTTCGTCCGATGGAACAGCCACCCACTACGTGATCGGCGCGATACTTCCTTCTGTGCTGCAGCGTCGGCCTCACACTGCTTGCGATTATCGAGACTAATTCGAGCCGTGACCTCATCGAACGAGCGACACCACCACGTCTCTGTGTAGTACTTGATGAAGCCGGCACAGCCAAAGCCTCCGTCGCGCGTACGAAAGGCGTGCATGTGAACATGATCGATGCTGTTGAATGGCGGTGAGTGAAATGCGAACTTGAAGTCATCGTCTGCGGTGTTGGACATGAGACAGTGAGCTCGCTCTGCTTGCTTAAGCGGGGACAGCAGCTGTGAAGGCCGAGGCATCTCTCGAAGAACCATGGAAGCGACCTCGCGCATTCGAAGCAGCAGCGCCGCGTCGTCGAGTGTCATCTCGTTCACGTTGCGGATGTGGCGACGCGGCACTACCAAGATGTGACTAACGACGACGGGGGCTAGAGGGCGGAACACAATCACGTCCTCGTCTTCATAGAGGAAGGGTTCATCGCCAGACTTGAGTATCTTGCAGAAGCGGCAGGATACCAGCGCGCCGTCACATCCGTACGTGACACCCTTCCAGGACACCGAAGACGTGGACGACGTCGAAGATGAAGTGGACGTGGTAGATGGCAATGAACACGGGTACGAGCTGTGGCGACAGCATTGTTCCTGCACAGGCTGATCAGGCCGACTCGACCGGTGAGACAATGCCTCTGTGTCGGACTCCGACGGGCTCGTGCCAACAACGTCCGAGCAACTTCTAAGTAGGGAAGCACTTGCGCGGTTGGTGACCGCCACGACGGACTCGCCTCGTTGCAATTCACGTGCAGCCCCTTCCGTCTCGGGCAAATGAAAGTGCGGGAAACACGCGAGCAGACGCTTACGAAGTCGCAGTTTTGTGGGTGTGGCCCGGTGCGAGGAGCTGCTTGCCGATACGAAGGTGACCATTGCTGCGACTTGGTAAATTATTGAATGACAGCCAAGCGCCGGTTTCTCTCCATGCCAAGACAATAAACAATGTGCGCCTATCTCAGCAGCCGTTTTGCTCGAAACGTGCACGCCCCGCTCAAGAGGGTAAGGGGACGTCCCTAATCAGTCTTGAGGGGAAGGGCTCCGATCCAAACCAATCCTTCTTTCAATCTTACCCATTTTGGTATTTATTTGAGAGCGTTTGAAACCTGTCCAGGCATGCGCTTCATTTTATCGTGTCATGTCTAGTTTAAGGCTCTTTATTCTCCAGGGTGTCGATGTGCACAATGGAGACAGTAAATCAATTTGTAGACGCGCCAGGTCATGGAAGCGATTGGTACGTCGTAGACTGGATGGCGGGCCGAAGTGTTGGGTACGACCAAAGACGAACACAGATGGCCAGTGCTAGCCATGCTTTGTGGTGGGACAGTACTCTTGGGTACCGGTTGCGCTTCAACACTTGTCATTACTTCTTCCCGCAAAAAACAGTTCCAGCATTTATTTGGTTGGATACAGCGTTCGCACGCGGGTTCCAGGTATTGAACATTCACGCTCGTGACTCGATCCCCTGGGTACAGAAGTGCCATAGGCGGTCCAACTAAGTCATATGCTCTTCGTCGATAATTCCCGTTGTCAAAACGCTGATGCATTCACACCTCACCTCATTTTACCGTTGAAATGTTCCGGGTGCGTCTCCGTCTGTTCACGAGCCCCTGATAGTGCGTTTTTCTTGTCCGGCTGTTCAGTCGAGGGTTGTAATCAGCAAAGTTCTGCTAATGCTTCTTGTCTTACGTTGGTAGCTCAGCGACACTTTCAGACAAAAGCTGTGCAAGTGATAAAGTAAGGGCATGCTTACGCCAAGCACGCAGCACCCGAAACCTCATTTGTAGAATGTATGGGACCTAAGGGAACACACGCAGTTTACAGAGCACAAAGCAACACACGACACGGCACCGCCTTGTCGTCGGCACTCACAGCCGCGGCTATTTGTCAGATTTGAGAGGCTTGGACTGTCTATTGTAGCAGCTTATCACTGATAAGATGTCTGGTTGTGTGGCAACCACCTTGTCATCATCTACCATGACACAATCTTACTACTCCTAGCTTTCTCATTCTGCTGTTGTAAAACGTCGAACGTCAAGGCGGGGGACTCCCAAAAGGTCCCGTGGACACCATCCGTTGACCAAGTCCGGGGTTCGATTCTTGTGTGCACTCTACCGGATGGTAGGGCTGCTCTCGCGCTCGGAGCAATTTGATTCAGGGGACAGAGGACGCTTGACTAAAAGTCCTGTTTCCACTGCGGTAGTCCTGGCGAGCCATCGTGATGTAACCTTTGCCCATCACTTCATAGTCGACTTCTTGCTGTCCAGGTCGGCTCGGGCTTACAACGTGCTCAAATGTGCCCAGACGTAGTACCGTTGGACGAAGAGTATCTGCCTCGATGCTACTGTACCAAGACAGCCGGTACTACTGGATCTCAACGGGGATCGTCACGGTCTTGGGCGATTTTCTTCGTGGGACCAAGCTCTTGCTCAGCGAACGTGTCACCAAGTTGTAAACAGACCGCGAAGAGTAGAAACTTCTTCGTTTTGCAGGGTGATTTGATCCATCTTCGACGTGCCCTGCACTAGGATTTACTGCAGACCTCTTCTCTCTCGAGCGCACGCTGCGGTGCCTCCCGTGGCGCACACAGCGAGGAGAAACCCTCCCCCGCTTTTACCTTGGCTCCACTATGGGGGACTTCCCGCCCAAAGCAAATGGGCCAGTTTCCTGGCTCCCCGGAGTCTCGTCTCTGTCTGCTGGTACAGCCGGCTGCCGATTGGGAAGTCATATTTGCCTGATTTGAGGGAATTGTCTTCACCGAAACTTATTCTGTGCAGTTTACTCATTTTCTATTTGTGTTGTTTGCTGTTAAAATGTGATTCGGTTTCCAAGTCGCCTAACTAGGCAGGCGCCTGCTGTTGCGCCGTCTATCCGCTACCTAGCGTGTGCATCTTGCAGAGCTGCACGTGTCCGCGTGGGATGGATTCATGCGATGAATGCAACAGACGAAGCAAAGATACTAATGATTGGCGTGTCACACAGCTTTACCTGTGAGTTGCACAGCTTGTGTCACGACGAAGGACCGAATGCTTTTTCCTGGAGCTCTGTGCGAGGTATAAAGGCGATGGTCAACAATACCCAATTGGCCTATCTCACAGTCTGTTGATGTCATACCCAGAACGATGGGGATGGAGAGGGTGTAGATCGATTTCTTGAGGTGATTACGAGCGTGTTTACAACAGCATACGATCGTCACGTGCGACAGACGCGGGTCAACTTCACGTGCAAAGACGAGACCGTTTTTCTTTGCATTGTAAGAGTGCAGGACGGAACAGCTGATGGGGAAATGACCAGTACTTGCCCCATCACTACCAGAGCTCTGTAACGATGACATGCTCTGCTATCTTCTGCGCTACGACCCGCTCGGCGTCTACTTGTGTTGCAATCGCACTGTCCAGATACTCGGGATGCATACAGATGGCTGCGACAATCGCCTTCTTCACGGCGCGGCTCATGGCCTGGCTGCCGCACACGTAGATGTAGCCCTCATCTTCAAGCAAATGCCGCACCACGAGCTTGCTCTGATCGATCAAAGCATCTTGAACATGCTTTAAATACAAAAGACCGTGCCAACGTTAGTCTTGGACAATTCGGAGTCACGAATACTTGTAGATATGCAGCCAGTACCTGCTTCGGGTGGTCACTATCAGCCGAAAATGCTACGTGCAATTCATCGAGCACTCCACAGTCTCGTGCACGCTGTAATTCCTCAGCGTACAGAAAGTCCACATCTGCATTACGGCATCCATAAAAGAGGTAGGCTGGTCGGTGCCCGTGTGGTGACGTAGCAGCTTCATGCTCTAGGTCCTGCAGAAACGCTCGGAATGGCGCAATCCCGGTACCTGCGCTAATAAGCATGATAGGACGATGATCGTGAAAGGGGAATACAAAAGACGACCGGTGGAACGATGCGCGAACAGATTTTCCTTGCTCCAGCTTTGCAAGGTAGCTGGAACAACGTGGCAACGGCAGCCCATCCGTTTCACAAAGTCCGAGTGTGATGGAAACCACATCAGGAACAAGTCGCCGTGACGAGGAGACCGTGTAAAATCGTGGATAGTTCGGTGGCGCGATCTGGAAAAAATCTGCGAAGCTCAGTTGAACAGACGGAAAGCGGTCTAAAATGTCGGCGATGGTGACGTGCTTATGCGGCCTGTGTACAGCGATTTAGGGCAATAGAACAGTGAGAAATTTGTAATGCGATATCGAACTTCGTCAAGTCGTTTACCGTTCAGCGTAGATAGCTTCTGCTACTTGGAGTGTTATCAACGCAGCAATGTCGTCATCGTTTGAAGCGTACGCGGCAAGGCTGCGAAGAAACCTCGAGCTTGGAGTCGAAACGAGGTCAAAAGTCCACGTGAGTGCATCACGCACCGTTCCAATGTTGGCAAATGGGCACTGTTGAAGTCCTTGATGCTGCAGCGTGTTCTGCTGCTGGCTGGATTTTGCGAGATCGACTGACAATTCGGCAGCGTAAACCAATTTGGGATCCTCAACATGCAAATGAGCGAGCATGCGCTCTACGACCGATAGATCGTTTGGTACATATACGCCAATGTTGGACGCCTGCTCACCAACTTGCTCTTGTTGCTCGCCACGCATGCAGAGGTCAATATGGCGTACTGACCGCCTCGCACCGTCTGCTGTTTGATAAGGCCCGCTGATTACATCATTTGCCACGACCTCCAGTAGTGATCGACCAGATTCTTTCAATAGTCTTTGACGTACATCCTCATCACTGTCCTGGCTCGCGTAAAAGGACAAGCTGTGCACAGACAAAGGAACCACCGGCACCTCTCTCCTTTCCTGAAACTGTAAACTCAGTTCGTACTCCAGCAATTTCTCCTGCAAACACTCTACAATCAATTGTATCGACAACATTACCCCACCCACATCACTAACGAACCTGGTAGATCAGGTGCACGCAGTTAGGACAGTCCAAGTGGCAGCACTCGTCTTCGTCCGGCTCATCTGGAGGCGTCAAGGGACCTGTCGACACAACTTTCGGCTAAGCAGGTAAAGAGAGATGCAATGAGAATCTAAAAAAACACAGCCACAAATGCCTGAGATTTAACTCACGTCTGGCTGTCGGCGCTTTCTGGTCAGTTCTCGCTCGAGCTCCAGGAAGGCTTGCATGCCATCGCTAGAAAACGACCGATTCCGCTGTTGGTTACGTCCAGCTAATTCATGCGTCCATGTGAAAAGTGGACTGTTGTGTAGCGTCACTGTGCGGTATGCGCAGCGGCGAAGCGCTCGGATCGCTAGCATGCCGCCACTTGTTGGTATGTTTGACCACTGCTGTACCTCAATACTGGCACATTTAGGTCAACCTGAACATTAAAACTACAAATTCGAGAAAACCAACCTGTGGTGTGTACAGTAAAACTTATCTCCGCTAATACTGTCTAAATAAAATTACAGCCCTAAAGTAAAAATGGGTCCGTCCCAAGGTCGGGCCAATTCCAAAACTAAAAAGCCAATGTAATTTAAATATTAATTGCAATTTAAGCTCCCATTTACGAATTAAAATTTAATTTTGTTTATTTTTATTTAAAAAAGTGGTGGTTCTGTAAAATGTTTGAAGTACTACCTAAACACATCTAAAGAAGTCTCATTTGTGAGGCTGATCCAATTTTTTTGTGCAAATCACCCCGACTTCGTCCTTCGTTCTCTGGAGTGACTATATAAAAGTCTGCGCATCACCATCTTGTTGCAGCTAGAATGTCTCAAGCAACTCAGTTGCCTTCTGAGCATCCACAACCATGATTTTAGGCTGGTCCTGGCTGTAACGGGGTGAACCGTTACGTTACAATTTATAAGAAATTGTTAATAGAATATAACTATAAGAGTTATACTCTCAGAATATTGTCATAAGGACAAATATTTTGCAGCACTTACGAGTAGTTCCTAATTGGTTGATACAGGCCATTATATCAACCAACGAAGATGCGCCACGACAGACGCACGCAATGAGTGGTGAGCAGATAGTTGATTTACACACTTGCATTTGGACATAATTTGTAACGGGGTGAATCGTTACATAACAATTTATAAGAAATTGTTATTAGAATTTAACTATAAGAGTTATATTCTCAGAATGCTGTCATAAGGACAAATATTTTGCAGCACTTACGAGTAGTTCCTAATTGGTTGATATAGGCCATTATATCAACCAACGAAGACGCGCCACGACAGACGCACGCAATGAGTGGTGAGCAGGTAGTTGATTTACACATTTGTATTTAGACATAGTTAGATGAAGATAAATAGTGATTTATTGCAGACATTAACTATTATAAATACAGTTCTACTTTTTACTTTAACCAAGTACTCGCTTCTTCTTACCGTCTTCCTCTGCACGTACGAGTGTACGTGAAGTTACGAGGCACCGCCTTATTCTGTCATCAGAATAAGTAGCTTGTACTGTCACCAGTACAAGCTTCAGGGTGCCCCGTTGCACCTGGTAGCACTTCGTAGTCCGTCCAAGGACCACGTTTACATCTAACATGAATATGTTAGATGATGAAGGTGACCAAAGCTTTCACGCTACGCGTGACGGCTAATCCCATTCGAGCGATGTCGAATGGGATGCGGTTGAACGGATGGGTTCAACCATGGGCATCCATGCTGTTAGCGCCATGCTAGAGGCTCTCAATAGAGATGCCTAACATGCTACTATCGCCAAGTTCATTCAAAGTGAACTTGACGCTCAACGCGAGAAAGTAGCCTTGCTTCACCAACAAGGTTCTCAACAATCAGAGTTGTTGAGAGAACAGGGTGCTCAACAGTTTGAGCTGTTGAGACAGCAGCAGGCTGCTGCTGGTGGGTCGATGCACTCGCGTCGACCCGAGACCTTGAAGATTGACATCTCCAAGTATAGGGGAGTCAAAGAGGACTCCCTCTTAAGAGGTTCGTCGAATTGGATGACGCCATAAGGGCGCGTCGCATCGACGATGGGGAAATGCAAGTTGCATTTGCCCAGTCAAATCTGGCAGGACGTGCCAAGACTTGGGCACTGGGGCTCAAGTTGCACGACCCATATGCGTTTGGGTCGTTGGAAGTCTTCAAGTCGCGGCTCAGACAAACGTTTGAACCGCCTAGAGCTGAGTTCAGGGCTCGAACCGAACTCTTGAAGCTCAAGCAAGGTAAGTGTTATGTGCACGCTTACGCGCAACATATACGACATCTCACGAGTTGTATAAGTTCCAATCCGGTTGATGAACACACGTTGGTTTCGGTGTTCATGCAGGGTCTTGCGGATGGTCCCGTCAAGACTCAACTGTTCCGACTTGAACTAGATTCACTAGAACAAGCCATTTCCATTGCGGAACAGGAAGACTTCAGTATGAGACAGGCTCGCACCAGCTCGACATCATATCGTCAACCGAGACGATATGACAGCGGAGGTCCAGAGCCGATGGAACTCTGTTATGTAGAGAGCGAGAAGGCTCGCTCTACAGACTACAAGAAGTTGCAGAGATGCAACAGATGTCAAAAGACAGGACACTACGCTTACGAGTGTAGTGCCCCTCGTCCAGTGTCTCGCAACACTGGGCGTAACGACCGTCCACCCATGAGAAAGGGGCAGGGAAGCGGGTCCGCTGTTGTTGCAAAGACGCAACAACGGGATGGACCGTAAAAAACGGACAGGATCAGTAGGTGCGGGGCACCCTACTGGTCCAGCAACGTCAAGAGAATTTGTAGGCCTCTTGATGAAGGTTGCTCCTAACACACAAACGTTGTGCGTTGCTGCTCTAGGTAATGAGATCGCGCTCATTACCTTGAAACTCGAAGTGACAAGTTAGTTGTCCCTTCGAGCTCTAGTAGATCGTGCGGCGTCCAACAATTTTGTGCAACGCCAATTGCTAAAAGATGGTCACTTTAAATTCAGTGAATGTGACACACCTCCTACGAGGATGACGGCACGTCTTGCGATAGGCGCATCCGTAACCGTCATGAAGCGTATAGTGAAGATCCACTATGCGCTAGAAGATACCCGATCTGACGATGACTTTTCGTATTGGATTTGGATGACAAATTTGATGTCATCCTTGGAATACCGTGGCTCAGAAGGTACGAACCACGGGTAAACTGGCAACATCAGACAGTAACGATGCCTGCCGCTTGTTCATCAGATGGCCATCTGATGAACGTTTTGGAGCGTCCACAAGCGTGTGGATGTACTACGAGTGAGTGCGATGGCCTCACTTGTGGTACGGTCGTTAGTACGACTGCACAAAACCTTAGTGTACCAAACGGTTACACTTCGGAGCAAAGTTCCGGTGGCTGTGAGGAAACACAGGCTGCGCCGAAGGTCCACCACTCGAATAATTCGGGTGGACTGGGACAAAGATGTATCCCTAGCGGGGAACATCTAGAAGAGAAACAATCGATCGCTCAGATTAAGCGAAACGATAATCCTAGATCGACTGGAGAGTCTTTCGTAGAGGATCTCGCTGTGGTTGCGCAACCCCAGCTAGAGGAAGTAAAGGGAATAAGTCCCAAGATTACAAATACGGCGGAAATAAGTTCCCCGAAACCCGCGGGAATAAGTCCCCGGGAAGCCGAAGGAATAAGTCCTTCGAAGCCTGAGGGAATAAGTCCCCAGGAAATGACAGAGACATTGAATGTAATAGTCAATAACGGATCAAGTGGAGGCGCTTATACACTTGATCTGATTGCGCCTCCGAAGTTGACTTCGGAGATCACTCAGTTGCCAACGCTCGAACATAAAAGGTTCTTGCGTGATCTGCGTAGTGGCAAAGTCAAGCAGATTTGCATACTCGTCGCTGACGACGAGTGTGTAACCGACATAAGGTCAGCAACAGTGTTCACTGAGAACGAGAGAGTTCTCAGTAGTTCATCTATGGACGAGAGTGTCCTAGATGAAAAGACACGAATTGAGCGATATGACTCCCAATCGTGGGAATCGCTCAAGACAATTCCTCTCTATGAGGATTTGGTTGAATTCAAGGATGTATTCCCTGAAACTGTTCCGTGCGAATTACCGAAGGATAAAGGTATTCGACACGAGGTCGAGCTTAAACTAGGCTCGAAGTACTGTGTCATGAAGCAGTGGCCACTGCCCCGTGAACAAGTACTTGCGATCGACAAGTTCTTTGCCGATCGTTTAGCTGCAGGCCATGTAAGGGGATCAACATCCCCACACATCTTTCCGACCTTCTGTGTGCGAAAAGCAACAGGAGGGTGGAGGATAGTGCATGTATTTAACAAGTTGAATGCTGCAACGGTACCGGCTCAGACGCCGATACCGAGAAAGGAAGTAATCATTGATGGCATGTCAAAGATTACCATCGTTTCGTCCATGGATTTGATGGATGGCTTCAATCAAATCCTTATGCGAGAACGGTACATACCCTATACCGCAGTGAGCACGCCTAGCGGCATGCTTGGGAATGGCTAGTAATGCCACAAGGGCTCAGTAATGCCCCTGCCACGTTCAACAGATGTGTATCACATCTGTTGAGACCAGTACGAGAATTCACGCCGAGTTATTTCGATGACGTATTCATCCATAGTCGAGCTATGGATGTAAAGTCGGACGCTGAGGCTCACAGGTACCACGTCCGACAGGTTCTTACAATCATGCGAAAGCATCAATTGTATGCTAACCTCAAGAAGCGTATATTTGCATCAAGCGAAATACCACTTCTTTGGTGCATTGTAGGTAAGAACGGTGTACGTCCTGACCCCAAAAAAAAGATCAAGGCGATCACCGACTGGCCTGCGCCAGTTGTTGTCAGAGGTCTCCAAAAATTCCTTGGCCTAGCGGCGTATTTGCATAAGTATTAACGCAATTACGCCGAGATGACTGTGCACCTCTCTCGTTTGTTGAAAAGAACGAGAGGTGGTCATGGAACGCTGAATGTCAGCGCTCCTTTGAGGGTATCAAGCAGAGCTTGATACAATCCCCAGTCCTAGCAATAGCGGATCAAGACAGTCCATTTCATGTGGTCTGTGATGCCAGCGATTTTGCAATCGGCTGTGCATTAATGCAGTACGATCTTGAAGGCGTTGAACGCGTCGTCTGCTATCAGTCGCGTCAGCTGCAACCAGCTGAGCGGAACTATCCAGTGCATGAAAAGGAACTCCTTGCCATGAAGTATGCACTTGCGAAGTTCAGAGTCTATCTATTAGGAGATAGGCCCTTCATTGTTTACACTGACCATGCGTCATTACGCACGGCAGTGAACAGTCCGCACCTTTCGCAACGAATGGCGCGGTGGTTTTCATTCTTTGCAGAATAC